TTTTTATTTTCACTTGCTCGATTTTTGCAATTAACATGTACTCGGCAGTTCTTGTACATAAGTTCTTGGAATGATTGAAACAATAATCTTCATGTTTTAAGCTCCATCACATTAACTGAATTAGTGTCCCACAATGTCGCCTATGATTGAGAGTTGAAGTCTCAGGGGGAGACGCATCAGAAAGCACACAGGATTCTCAGTGCCACTTTTCCGGTGACAATTCAGTGTCACTTCTATATTTATGCCAAATGTCTTATTTATTTAATTTGTCATGTGTTGTTTAATGAAATTTCTTCTACCATCACGTGATAAGTGGGATTGGCACTGGAGTTGGCACCGAGTAGTGACATAGAGGATCCCAACTGATCAGAAAGTTTTCATGCATGACGTCTGTAGATTTTGAAGCTTTCAGCAGCATCTAAAGCCAAATATTTTTTTCTGGAATATTGCTGTAAGCTGGATAACGCCTGCAGACTACTGCTTCCAAGTTGCCTGATCGCGATTTGCTAGTAGCTAGGCCTTCAAATATTCCACTAACAGTGTAAGGCGCAAAATTTAGGAGGGTTGTGCTTGCACGCCTTTAAATGTCCCAGCACTTATTTCCCTTTTTGTCCCTTCTTTTCTTTCAAGTATGAAAAGTATTAGTAATTCGTTTGAATAACATCTTTTGCAGCCCCCAGTGCACTATCAATTAAGAATCCATAAGTTCACTTCCAGTCTTCCATCTCATTAACTTCTCTATCAGAATTGAGAAAATACTAAACCACAGTGTCACTTTTTTTTGGCTATTTCTTACTTTCAATGTAGTACTTTTTAATTTTCTATTTTTTTTTTAATTTTCTTTCTTCTTTTTTTTTTGTTTGTATTTGGGACAAATTAAGATTTATTACGATTTAGTAGGGCAAAATATAATTTTTTTAATATCATCTCTTATTTTTCCAAAGGAAAAAGAAAAAGAGAAAGAAAAAGGAAAAAGAAGAAGTAGTGAAAAGGTTACTTATTAGTTTTTATTTGACTTTTTTTTAACATTGATCATTAGTTTTAATGCAAAACTAACAGTAATACTTTACTCCAAATTATGAGGGGGTAAAACATAAGTTTTTAAATTATAGGAATTATGTGGTATAGTGCCAAATCATAGGAAAAATAATTTACCCTCAAAAAAATAAAGAATCACAAAAAAAATAGAGAATAACATTTTCCCCCCGGGGAGAAAAGAACCAAGTAAAAAATAACTGCCCTCTCTTTCTTTCTTTTTTTGGGTATGGTATTGCTAAAGGGGAGGATCACACTTTGACACTTCACTCTCTAGAGCTCAAAGATTCCAGAAATCTTCAAAATACTAGAGCAACAAGAGGGCCTTTCTGATATTAGAATTTTTTTTTGGGAACCATTTTACAATTTTCAACCCACTAGTTTGTGATAATCTACATGCATCTTCGTAATTTTCTTCCAATTTGGCTAATCTAGCTATGATGAACTTGTCGGTATTATTTGCATTGCAATTAAGGCTATGTTTGTTTTTAGGAAGGAAAAAGAAATAAGAGAAAACTTTTTTGCTTTTTTGAATGAAAAGAATTGAAAATTTTTACAACAATATACTAGAAGAGAAGACTTTTCGTGGGTTGGAAATTTCATATGAAAGAAAAGGAAAGCATAATAATTATCGATGGGATAATTGAGGAGTACGTAGTATACTAGTATTAAGACTTAAAAGATTCCCAGGTTGGAGAGATGCTCAATTACTTCGTTCTCTCTCTTTTCTCCTGTTTTAAAAAATCACAAACATTAAGGTGGGGAACCCGGCTTGGATTCTTATCTTCTTCTCCGTCATTTTTGTAATTTATTTTTGTTTTAATCATTCATTAGAATTCACATATAAGTACAATTTTAGTCATTCTTGAACTACAGTTGTGAATTGAATTATCCAAGGATTTGAAAGCAAATCTTAACTCAGAACAACTGAATAGGACCTCCTAATCTCCATTATTGTCTTATTAATCAGCCCCAACTGCTAGAGTTTATGATACAAATTAGAACGGGTGCAATTAGGAGAATGTCACTCTCCTGAGTCCTGACTAATGACAAGTCAGGAAATCCTCCTATGTATGTTTACTAAAACATATTACTAGAAAACTTTTTCTGTTTCCAGCTGTAAGCTTCAGCTCTTTCATTGCTTGTCTAGCACTCTTGTTGGCTTTACAGGGAAGGATGCTTTTTTTTCATCTTTTGGGACTTTATTTTGGTCATATATACTACATGTTGAATTAGTGCGCATAGAAGGACGCACACTAGCACTGTCAGTCTCTGCCTGATTCGCTTGTACGTAGCTTTGTGACCATCATTAATGTCACAGATACTTGGGCAACAAGATAGTATGAAGTCATTGTCAAACCTGAAAAGACTGAAAAAAAATTGAAAGTGAAGCACAAATTTGGACAAGCATAGATATCAGAGGTGTAAAGATTGCTTTGCAGTTGCTATAAGAAGCTAACGCTGAACTAATGTACTACTAGATCAAATGATCAAATCCTCCTGTAGCCCTTGAAATTTGACCTGATAAGAGTGATATTCCACCAAGAAACGAAGGATTAACTTGATCATCAAACAATAATGCCATCACCAGCAGCAGCCGCAGAAGAAGATGGTCAAGATCCCTTCAAACGCTTACCAGATGATCTGTTGATATCCCACATATTTGACAAAATTTCAGAGGCCAAGTCCCTGTGCTGGTGTTCACTTGTCTCCAAGCATTTCTATTCTCTAGTTTACCTAACCCGAAAGGTTTTCTTGAAAATACCTCTCCAGGTCTCAGATGATGGTGGACTCGATCAATTCAGGGACTTCACCCGTCGTTTTTCTTTAGCTGGAAAAAAAGGCGTCCACATTGTCACCATTCCCTTCGAGTTCTTCGTTCATGGCCACGGATCTCGTCCGCCGTCCTCTCCTACTCCTACAGCCTCTGAAAATCAATTCTTGTCTCATCCGTCAACCAAATGTCTCTGGAAATTCAACTCCATCAAATCTCTCCAAGTGGAGTTTCATTGTTGCGGTTCACGGAATGAGCAGCAGCCAGTGGTCAAGTGGAAGATTGACAGAAAATCAGCTAAATATATACTAATCCTGGCCCCCCCAACGAGCCCTGGCCCAGCCGATCCTGCCGCTGCTGAAATTGGGTCCCTTATGAAGGTTCAATTTGGCTGTCATCTGGATATTGCTTGCTTAACGTTTTCACTGATGGAATCCCTTCTTCCCTTTTTACCAGAATCCCTTCAGCATGTTATATTCACAGATTCAGAGAAGCGAGGTAGGCTTGATCTTGGAGAAAGTGAACTTGTTCTGATGAGGAGGACTAATATTCCAACGAATACAAGAACTACAAATCCTAAGGATCAAGGAGATGAGGAAAGCATTGGATTCTGGTTTGCACCTTCGCTGAAACTGCCAGTGCTGTCAAGCGGCAGCTCATATATGATCATGATTACTCTTCTCAAGCGCAAAAGAAATGCTGATCAAGTAGGAAATTCTGCTTGTAATTTCCAGAGAGTAAAACAAGCTTTTGAAGGTGAAGAAGAGGTTCTTATCGAAGATGTAATAGAAATGCTCAGGGACGTTGATTTCTGAAAAAAAAAAAAAATTTTGCCAGCAGTAGACTTCTGACGATAGTAGTATCTCCTTAGTTATGGTCGAGAAAGTGAAAATCCTTGGTAGGATTGGACTTCTAATCCGTCATGGGTTGTTTAGCTTAAGAAAATGAAATAATGTTAACGTTGTTAACATTGCCTGTTAACGGTGTTAGAGCATTAAGAAAATGAAATCGCCTTTTTATTTATGCCAATTCATGATTTTCGTCCACCTCACCGAATCCAACAAATTTCCTAAATTTACCGTAGCTATTTGAGGCCAACTCTGAAGTTAGAAAAACTGAGAAAATTGGAAAATACTACTAGTAATAGGAAAAGAATTAGTACTACTACTTTTTATTGGAATTGTATCCAAGTCTTTTACCAAATTATACACGTGTGGAATTATATCATATGCGCTCCCCATCAGCCAAGTAAACAGGAACTTGAGAGAATCTCTATCTCATGTTCATCTTAAGAGATAAACATGTGTGAAGTACTGTCAGTAAATACGGAGAACATGCCAACAAAGTAAATGATACGTAATAACATCATCAGACAGCAGAATAATAATGTTCTGGCTATAGTTTGAATCAATGGCAATGCATGTTCATGTAAGAGGTAATTCCTTTACTTCTTTCCTGGTGAAAATCAAAATAGAATAAACAGAAGACTAAATTCTGTCTCATTGACAGCATTCTGATCAGTGAAGATAAGACTGTTGGCAAAAATAATAATAATACTGCTCCTAGCAAATGGGGCAAACACAACTTTCACGTGGTTAAAAGCTGATGTCTTGACAGAAGAAAGCACTTGTACATAAACTTTGGCAACGAGGATGTTGATGTTAGGGGTTTAAACTTACTCGGAAACATGATTATTTTCAAGCGATAAAAGACAATAATGTAATAAGGGTAGCCCCAAACTCCCTAAGTAGGGGTGGGTGTGGGTATAATCAGCTCCTTCTATGATATCACGCTGTCTCAATACATATGAACTTGTTTGTTGATTTGAATCTATTTTCCCTACTCCTAATTTCCTCCGCTTTAGTAACGGATGAATCGCTTTTCCTTAGCCCCAAAATAACAAGAGACAGAACGAAACTGCTAGCAATTAATAATAACATGATTCACCAGCAGACTACTGATAATAATATTACATGAACGATTCATGAGTCTCAAAATTAAACTAATACGTAGTAGCTGACCTTTCACCCCCAAAAAAAAAAAAAAAAAGTAACGCGAAAATGCATTAAAAACAGTAATGACTGCAGACTGACTACCCCATTGAAAATCAAACCTCAAAAACCAAACGAATTTTAGACTTTTTCAAGATCATCATGACGAGATAGATATTCGTTTGCTAAGCGAAATTTCCTCAGAGACTAGCTCTAATCTCCTTCACCATTTCCAGTACAGTTTCAACAAAAACCTCATCTTTATCTTCAAAAGCAGATTTTACTTTCAAGTAATCCTCGGACTCATTGGCCAGGAAAAGAGTAAAAGATTGCCCGATTGGGCCTGAAAATGGAAACTTAACTCTAGATTTAGCACTCGTCACCCTCTGCAAATACTCGGTATTTCTTGGATTATCACAAATCCGCCTCATCTGATCAGCGAGATCAGTTTTTCCCAGATCTTGCTTGCTCCGGTTCTTGGAATCTGTGATGGTCACCCGGAGAAGGGATCCCGGTAAGAAAGGCAGGAGGGTTTCCATTATCGAGAAAGTGTAAAAACCCATAGCCAGATGACAATGATATTCAACGGTAAGCAACCCAATTTCCCTAGCATAAATGTTGTTAGCATCATCAAGACAACTTCTGGAAGCATAGAGATATATAAAAGTATCTGATTCGAAGTCGAGCTTCCACTTCATCACAGGTTCCTTGATGAAACGGATACCGCCTGTGGCCTCGGAATCTTCCGGCGGATACAAGATTTCCACATGGAGGGATTCCATGCGGGAGAATTTAGCAAGAAATTTGGTGGTGAGATGAGACAGAAACTCGAAATCCAAGTGCTCGAAGTGGAAAGTCAATCGCTGGGACTTCTGGAGGAAGGGAAACATCCCCAGGGGAGCTATGAAACAGTGGACTGGTTTTCCTGGAAAACAAGCAGGAGTGGTTTTCTTATCGAGTTCCTGGCGGGGAATCCGAAGTGGGATCTCGACAGAAACATTTTTGGTTTGGTAAACAAGGGAAGAGAAACGTTTAGAGACCAAAGAACATCTGCAGAGAGATTTAGCCTCAGAGATTTTGTTAAAGATATGGGATACTATCAAACCATCTGGTAAGAGTTTGAAGTGGGGGTCTTCTTGCTCCTTTTTGGCTTTTCCTCCTCCTGCAACTATGGTTAGACTAGCCACCAAACCCTCCATTTTTGTGGCCAGACAGAAAGAAGGAGCCTTTGCTTTTCTGATAGCTCCAAATTGCAGCTCTTTCTTGGGACTCAGCCAACCCCAAAATGCCGTGCTAAGGCTGAGGCGGTTACTTTTCTGTGCACATTGAGCAAGGTGTGAATTAAGAAGACAGCTGTTGCTCGATTCTTGATTGGGTACAGTACATAGTACAACAGCTTTTACCTGCTGCTGTAACAAAATGTGGCCACCATTGCAGTAATACGTACGTAGTTGAGATTTCCTGAGAAAAACCCTAAACGAGCAGTCGGCTATTGGGGTTTAAGAAAAGGAATCATATAACACACAACTATAATGAAAGTTGAATCGTTTTTGTGAATATAGTTGGGGGGGCCTTCTGCATGAAAAGGGATGTAACATTTCGTGGAAATTAATTTTTTACTACTGGGAATTGCAATGGAGATTGGGAGAGAATTGTGAAATGAACAACATTTTTAGTGACCTCGGTTCTCGTTTTGATGCTTTAAAAAGGGCACACTATACAAGAACTCTATCACCGTTAAGGACACGAATTTCGGGGTAATCAAGCAAGGACTCCCTAAATGCTGTACCCATTCATTAGGGATGTAAAATAGGTTAATTACGTTTCTTTTTCTTTTAGTCAAGTGCCTATTGATTGTACTGAGGAAGGCAACCCCCAACATTTAGATGGTTTAGAGTAATTAAACCAACAAAGTCTTAAGATTTGAGCAACATTTACTCGATGCAAGGAGGATAAATCAAAAGTACAAAATATATTTAAAAAAATTGTTTTTTAGGAACAAAATCGAAAACCTCAGTCTCAATTGACTCAAGAGTAAATTTCTTATGCACCATCATTTGTATAATTATTTTTTACACTAGTAAATTTAAATCATACTACCACATAACATGAATTTATATTTGAAATTCAAATCATATATTTTCTCATCTTAAGAACTGGCCTTGATTCTTAACAAGTTCAAAATTGTGTTCAGAGCGAAAGTAACCATATTATGCAATTTGGTATATTGGTTTTATGTCCTTTACTCCTGAGCTTATGGATATAGTGTTGGGGTACTGATGTTCTTTATATTGGGTGTGTGTTTGAGATTCTGATGTCAACTAATGAGGGAAAACTTTGTCTTAAAAACCTATCCAGTAGTTTAGAATGTATATCATTATACATATTAAAAATACTTCAATTATACTCTTAACTTTAGCAATCAATTCTTTCATTAAATAAATTAATGATTAATGCTCTCATTGAGCTAAATACTAAAGAAACAAGTAACATAAAACCTGGGAGTTGCGTGAGGCCCCCATTCAACTAGTCTTAATCTTAACAACAGAAAAGAGGGAGTTTGAGATGTGAATAATAACTTGGGCCCCTATCAACATCTTCACCATAAACCATTGAGCCAAAGCTCAGTGACCACCAAAAAGGGACTAAATCCCTCTTTGAACTATAGTTCGGGGATTCAAACCCTTTTTATAATGAAAAAAATTTAAAAGAGGTGACAGAGCACCTCTTTGGTTTATATACTTGCTAATCCTTTAATCCTTATACGATCTCTTTAAACCCCCCTTCTTGTAGATTAGGATAGATTAGATTATACAAATATTATCGTTGTCGGAAAAAAAATATACCTTCAATAGATGTCTGTTTCTGTCATTTGGTGATTCATTTGTGCTGGTTTACGAGTCCACTGAGGCGTCATTAGCTCTAGGTCAGATCTATATCAATTTCTCCTCTAGTTTGTAAGTAATTGTTAAATTCTTGAGATTCTGCAATAAAGATTAAAAAAAATGGAGGATTTGGGGATTGATTATGCATTAGGTTTAGAAGCCGCAGCTGCAGGAGAGCATGTAAGTGGAGATCCCTTCAAGCGCTTTGGATTGCATTTTTTTTGGATTTTTTGTAGAAAAATTACTGTATCGATATGATATATGTGAAATAAAATGTGATTGAAAAATGTGTTCATGAAAAACATAGCAATTTTTTTTTTAAAAATTGCTTTCCAAACAAGACCTATAAATATGTGGATCGAAAAAAAAAATGTGGTTTGTGGTTTGTGAGAAGAGTACTTTGGAGTAATTTTTGGCGAAATGATGGTTAAGTTATTTAATTGAAAAATACATTCTATTATTATCAGGCAATAGTAATTAATCTTTGATGAAATTACCCTTTTTTTTTAACTTGTTAAACTTGACTACCCTTCGAATCTTGGACAATGAGGTTTCTGTTGCTGTCCTTTCTTCTTTAATGTCATTACAAAAGTAACAAATTAGAGTGAGAAGGCCTGCCGAGTATTCCTTTGCGGTTTAAGTGCAGTTCTGAATTAGCTAACTCCTAATTTACCCCGAAAACCCCAAAAATACAAAAAGGAAAGATTAGCCAAATTCCTAGTCAGACACTCTCAAGACTCAACACTAACTAGTCACAACTGACACCACTGCCGATGGCAACTACTGAGTACGCCACCGCCTCACCACCTCGTCACTCCCTTTTGTCCCAAGTGTGGCTGTACCATAATCTTGGGCAGCAAGCACAAAGTTCCACCTTATATTGGACTGGAATTTTGTTGCTACTCTCTTTTTACAGTTCCATGCCTGTTCTTCAGAGCAATGCAGAAAGAAAATCCCCTTTGAGTTTTGAGAGCTGAGAGAGCTGCAGAAAATGGAGAGTTCTGGGAACGAAATGATTGCAGTCGCACGAGAAATTTCAGGAGGAGAAGACTATTTCGATCGATTACCAGATGACTTGATAGTATCCCATATACTTGGCAAGATCCCAGATGCCAAATCCCTTTTCAGCTGTTTTTTACTCTGCAAACGCCTAGCCTTCCTGGTTTTGCAATCCCACACCATTTATTGCACGATCCTTCATTGGCTTCCATCTTACATAGACGTTTCCACCACCCGAACTCAGTCTCTGCCCTTCCCCCAAATGAAAAAGCTCCTCCGTGCTCTCAAGAAACCAGTTCGGTTTCAAAATTCCCGTGATTTTCATTTATCTTACCTTGTCCCCTTGCTGAGATTTATAATGGCATTCAGATTTCTTAAGTTTCTTTACGCGGAAGTTTGTTTCTCGGGTAAGATGAAGACTTCTTCAAGCTCAATTCCAGGTCCCATTCCCAAATCTTCCATAGGACCCGTACTCAAGTGGAAGGTAGAGTTCAAGCCCCAAAACTCTGGGAACATGACAATATTTCTTGCGAAGAGCCTCGCTTCTTTGGCTACTAGTGATGAAGAGGATGATGATGAAGAAGAAGTACAGAGTCAAAGACAAATTTTTAAACAGAGATGCATCATCCGCGATGTCGCGCAAGATGCTCAATTGAGGCTGATGGTGTTTGAATTAATGGGTAATTTATTACCTGATCAGCTTCAAAGAATTGTAATTACAGATTCAAGGAAACAGGGGAAGGTTGTTTTGGGTGAGGGAAAGCTTGTTGAGTTGAGGAGGCGAGACATGCTTATCAGGGACAACGATGTGAGGATAAAGGTCTGGAATAGGAGAGTGGTTAGGCTTCCCTTGGCAGGCTATGTGATGAAGGGAGTAACTGTTTTTGCCATGAAATTTGGAGCTGTTGATAACGCTGATGAAGATGTTGAATCGATTGCAAAAGATGCTTTTGAAGGGGAAGGGGAAGTTTTTGGCGAAGCTATTGACAAAATGCTCAAGAAACCAGCATCTGTTGAGGAACATGTGACTGTGCTAATTTGATCGTGCTGGGATTGATCCTTTTTATAATCAAGTAGTTTGATAGGTGGTAGCCCAAAAGAAAAAGAACTTATAGAATCAGTGGGTCGATTTTGAGATTGAGATTCGTCTTGAATGGTTAGGTTCAAAGAGCTTATTGGTTGGGTTACATATGTTTGCAGAAGAAATATATATGGATGAGAACTTTGCTTATCGTACCCAAATTGACCGTTTCTCTATGCTGTCATGGCTCTGCTCTGTTTCTTTTCAAGGGCTTGTAGTTTCCTATCAATTAACTCAAATCAACGAATTGAAAGATTATATCACTATTTGAGCTGCATTCATTTTGCATGCTCAAAACAAAATTTATCTCTAAAGTTTAAGTTGCATTCATTTACCGATTTAAATTTTAGCAGAAACTCGCATTTCAGGTTTATATCACGTATACAAAAAATAACGTATAAGGGAGTTTAAGTTGCATTTCATTTACCAAATCTTTTGGATTTTAAGTTCCCAGGAAAAGCTTTAGTCAAATCAAAATATATTTTTAAAATAATTGTCTAGCAATGAACAAGAGGACATATTTTTAAAATATCTTTACATCAATTAGATCACACGAATAAATTCTGATAATCAGGTAATGGCGGTCGAGGTAAAAATTGCAATCATATTATGGTTCTACGGCTATAACTGCGTGATAGGGTATTAATTGTTAATAATTTTATCGTTAATTTTCCTCTTTATCCTTGTCAAATATTGTTTTAATTGTCAATATATATTTATATTTGGTATTTGGATATAATTTCAGAAAGTGAAGCAGAAAAGTGCTAAAAGGGGACCTTCTTGAGAAGATTTCTCCACACGTGAAAGCTTCTAAAAGCTTTCCACCATCAGCCCAAATTGTGCAAATCAACGGAATTGCTGATGAAGAATTGAATTGATATGATGAAATCCACTAGCAATAAGAAATCAAAGCGGGGACCACGTAGAAAGTTTGTTCTTATTGTGGGAGATATACTCATTAGTCAAGGTGTTGGCTTTGATGATTGAGCTTTTCCACTTAGCTTCCTACGGAATTGCTGATGAAGAATTGAATTGATATGATGAAATCCACTAGCAATAAGAAATCAAAGCGGGGACCACGTAGAAAGTTTGTTCTTATTGTGGGAGATATACTCATTAGTCAAGGTGTTGGCTTTGATGATTGAGCTTTTCCACTTAGCTTCCTACGTCACTAGTTCTCTTAGGAAACTAGTGCTAAAATAAAATAAGGGAAAGGCACTAGACGAGTGCTATATAAGACATTAGATTAGTTTCTCTCTACGGAGAGGAAGATAGGTAGTTTTAGTCATAAAATAGGATTTTGTTCTTTCATGTTTTGTGTGGTGTGAAGATCTCTTCAGTTGGTTTGTTTTGTATTTTTCTTCCGTCTCTTCCTTTAGACTAGTTTCTTTCATGAAACTAGTTCTATTTCATTCGATTACAGAGAATCAAATTTTCATTTTCAGTTACTAGCAAGAGTTATTTATGTCTTCGAATTCAATTAAATTGCGTGGGAATTTTCTTATGAGGCGTGGCTAATCTTCTCCTCTAGTCAAGGATCAACACGAAGACGCAGTCCCAAATATCTGTGAGATCTAATTAATTTTACGTGTTCCTTAATTTGTTAATATTTGCATGTTTTCTATTTTAATTTCCATGGGATTATTTTGTTAATTGGATATCAAGGGCCCGATGTGCAATTTGACTTATTAATCTCCTGTCAAATTAATCAATTAAATCCGTAATTGTTTAGTTGGTTAATATTAGTGACAACTAGTATTTTCACATACTAGGGGGACATGCAATCTGATTTAAATAACCCTCGTAGCGTGTTATTAATTTGGGTTAGGCTTTTCTAGTTTTTAATGCAATTAGGAAATTAATTCCTACGGTCGTACCTAGGAGTATTTCCTGGTTAGGGGTAATCAACGGTCGTACCTTGGTTATCAATAAATTAAGGAAAAGCTGGTCGTTAGAGTTTATCGGCGACTATAACTAACCTGTTAATAAAATTAAGTGAACCTTCTTTGCATTAATGATCGGATGAATGGACTGTGTTTGCGTAGTTGTATCCTTGGCTAGAATTTATTTATCATTTATTTAATTGCTATTTACAATTGTATTAATTAATTAATTATTTTTAGTTAAATTGTTTAATTATTTTTAGTTTATTTCTGATAAAAATCCCCCGTGTCCCGAACTTGAAAAGAATCGAATTTTTTCCAGTCCCTGTGGATTCGACCCTACTCACTACTATACACAGAAAATTCATTTTTCTCGAGTAGGTATTTATTATTGCACAGGCTCGGCACCTGTCAATTTTTGGTGCCGTTGCCGGGGACTGGCGTTAATCATTTGTTTCTTTTTAAGTTCATTTTTTTTCTGGTATTTTTCTAGTTTATGCCTCGCTCTTCTCGTACAGGCGAATTAATTTTCGACCCTGAAGTAGAGAAGACCGCGCGTAGAACGAGGAAAGAAACCAGGCGGCTCAGGGAGGAGCAATACGATATTGCACCTCAGGAACTTGATCCAGAGGTTGAGCCGACAAATTTGTCTGGTGACAATTCAAGTGATTCAGACCAAGAGGAAGTCACTATGGCAAATGCACGAACACTAAGGGAGTTGGCTGCTCCTGATTTAAATCAGCAGCCCTTGTGCATTACTTTTCCACATTTAAATGATGACACTCCCTTTGAACTAAAATCTGGTCTAATTCATCTCTTGCCCATCTTTTCATGGTCTACCAGGTGAGGAGCCCTACAAGCACTTGCAAGAGTTTGACGTCGTTTGCAACAGTATGAAGCCTCCGGGAATTACTGAAGAGCAAATAAAGATGAGGGCCTTCCCCTTTTCTTTGAAGGACTCCGCGAAAGACTGGCTCTACTACCTACCGCCTGGTAGTATCACCACGTGGGACCAATTGAAGAAAAAATTCTTGGACAAGTACTTTCCGGCATCTCGAGCTGCAAGCCTAAGGAAGGAGATATGTGGCATCAAACAACACCCAAGCGAGTCTCTCTATTAGTACTGGGAGAGATTTAAGAAACTGTGCACCAAATGCCCTCAACATCAGATAAGTGAGCAACTGCTCATCCAATATTTCTATGAGGGATTACTTTTCAGGGACAGAAGTATAATCGATGCTGCAAGTGGAGGAGCGTTGGTGAACAAAACTCCTCGAGGAGCCTGGGAGTTGATTGAAGGGATGGCTGAGAACTCACAGCAGTTTGGTTCAAGAGAGGACATCCCGACGCGTAGGGTGAATGAGGTAGAAACATCCTCTATTCAATAGCAACTCTCCGAATTGACATCTTTTGTGCGACAACTAGCTGTGGGGAATACATCGCAAGCCAAAGTGTGCGGGGTATGCACTGCCGTGGGTCATCCTACGGAAATGTGTCCATTGGTTCAAGAAGAAACTGCTGAACAGGTGAACATGGCTGGCCACGCGCCCGCGCCAAGAAAGCCGTACGACCCATACTCAAGTACCTACAATCCTGGTTGGAGGGATCACCCCAACCTTAGTTATGGAGGAAATAGGCAGTCTAACTTTGTGCCAAATAGACAGCAAGGACACCTACAGCAGTACCATCATCGCCCACCACCACCACCACCACTTTCAAACTCAAGTTCGTCCATGGAAGAGATGATGAAGCAATTACTTGCTAATCAACAAAAGACGGATTCAGACTTGCAAAGTATGAGGAATCAACTGGGACAGGTGCAATCATTGCAAAATCAAATGAATCAAATGGCTATAACAATCAACCGGTTGGAGTCCCAAGTTCAAGGAAAGTTGCCATCTCAACCTGAGGCAAATCCAAAGAATGTAAGCGCAATGACCTTAAGGAGTGGCAAGGAATTTCAAGGACCCGAACCGGTGATTCCTAAAGACAAGGACGAGGAACGGATTGAGAAAGAATTGGAAGAGGAGGGCACAGACAACAAAAATGCAAAGGTACCCTCGAACCCAATTCCTACAACTAAAACTAATCCACCTCCCTTTCCTAGCAGGTTAGAGAAACCAAAGAAGCAAGACAAGGAAAAAGAGGTATTGGAGATCTTTCGCAAGGTGGAGATCAACATACCCCTGCTGGATGCGATTAAACAAGTACCCAGGTACGCAAAATTTTTGAGGGACCTGTGTGCCAACCGCAAGCGGTTGAAGGGGGATGAACGAGTTATAGTTGGGGAGAATGTTTCAGCAATTCTACAAAGGAAACTTCCACCAAAATGCGGAGATCCAGGTATGTTTACTATTCCTTGTAGGATAGGTAATACTTTGATTGGAAAGGCCATGTTAGACCTGGGAGCCTCAATTAATGTCATGCCAAAGTCCATTTATGCTTCCTTAAACTTAGGCCCTTTGAAAGAGACTGGGATAATAATCCAATTAGCTGACAGGACCAATGCATACCCTGACGGGTTGATTGAAGATGTTTTGGTAAAAATTAACGAATTGGTTTTTCCAGCTGATTTTTATGTGCTCGACATGGAGGATGAACACTCCCGTGATCCGTCACCTTTGTTGTTAGGTAGACCCTTTTTGAGCACAGCCCGAACCAAAATTGATGTTAATAAGGGTACTTTGTCTATGAAATTTGATGGTGAGATTGTTCACTTTAACATCTTTGAGACCATGAAATATCCATCCGATTCAAATATTGGCTCTGTTTTCTCGGTAAATGTTATTGACCATGCTATACAGGAGATTTTTGAAATTTAAGGCAGGGATGAACTAGAGGTCGTCCTGACCAGGCACTTTGAGTCCGAAACGACCTCTAGGGTAGAGTTGAGTGAAGAGCTTAAATGCGTGATTGGATCGTTGCAAACATTACCAACCACGAAGACAAGGTATGATCTTGCACCGATTTTCATACCCGAACCTCACCAAAGGTTACTTCCATCTGTGGTGCAGGCACCTGTCTTGGAACTAAAACCACTGCCGAAACACCTAAAGTATGTATACTTAGGTGAAGGGGAGACACTTCCAGTGATCATCTCCGCGGGTTTATCAAAGGTTCAAGAAGAGAAACTACTTCGAGTTCTTAGGGAACATAAGCAGGCGATAGGATGGACCATCACCGACATCAAGGGAATTAGCCCTGCGGTGTGTATGCACCGAATTCGACTCGAGGAGAATGCTAAACCCGTACGGCAAGCTCAACGGAGATTAAATCCTCTCATGATGGAGGTCGTAAAGAAAGAGATTTTAAAATTGCTGGACGTTGGAATTATATTTGCAATATTAGATAGCCCGTGGGTAAGTCCAGTACAGGTGGTCCCGAAGAAGGCAGGGGTGACAGTGGAATCAAACCAAGAGGGTGAGCTCGTACCAATTCGAAAGCCCACCGGATGGCGACAGTGTATCGATTACCGAAAGCTAAATGCCGTCACGAAAAAGGACCATTTTCCCCTCCCTTTCATTGATCAGATGGTGGAGCGATTAGCATGTCGAGCTTACTATTGTTTCTTGGATGGATTTTCAGGTTATTTTCAAATTGCCATCGCACCCGAAGACCAAGAGAAAACTACTTTCACCTGCCCATTTGGAACATTTGCATACCGAAGGATGCCATTTGGATTGTGCAATGCACCTGCTACCTTCCAAAGATGCATGGTAAGTATCTTTTCAGAATATGTTGAGAATATTATTGAGGTTTTCATGGACGATTTCAGTGTATATGGTGAAAGTTTTGAAAACTGTCTAGATAACCTGAAATTGATCTTAGTAAGGTGTATAGAAACTAATCTCGTGCTTAATTGGGAAAAATGTCATTTTATGGTTGAACACGGGATAGTTTTGGGTCATGTTGTATCATCTACAGGTATTGAGGTTGATAAGGCAAAAATAGATGTTATATCTACTTTACCTTACCCCGTGAGTGTGCGGAAAGTTCGTTCCTTCTTGGGTCACGCAGGTTTCTATAGAAGGTTCATCAAGGATTTCTCGAAAATTGGAGCACCCTTATTCCAACTTTTACAAAAAAATGTATCCTTCGAATTCGATGAAACATGTAAGGGGGCATTTGATAAGTTAAAGGAGTTATTGACCTCCTCACCTATTATCCAACCCCCTGACTGGAACCTCCCATTTGAGATCATGTGCGACGCCAGTGACTATGCAGTTGGTGTGGTATTGGGTCAAAGAGTGGGAAAGGCAGCCCATGCTATCTACTACGCATCTCGAACCTTGAACGGAGCTCAATTGAACTATTCAACCACCGAAAAGGAGCTTTTAGCAGTTGTTTTTGCCTTAGAGAAATTTCGGTCTTATTTACTTGGTGCTAAAGTTATTATTTTTTCTGATCATGCAGCTTTGCGGTATCTGTTAACCAAGAAAGAGGCAAAACCGCGATTAATACGGTGGATATTGTTGCTACAAGAGTTCAACCTGGAGATCCGAGATAAGAAAGGGGCGGAGAATCTGGTAGCAGATCACTTGAGTCGAGTACAAGTCACCGAAGATGACATCCCATTGAGAGAAGCATTCCCAGAGGAGCATTTATTTTCTATTAATTCATCTTTGCCTTGGTATGCAGATATTGTTAATTTTCTAGTCACTGACAAATTTCCTACAGGATGGCCTAAGGCAAAGAGAGACAAGTTGAGGAGCGATACAAAGTTCTACATTTGGGATGATCCTTATCTCTGGAAGCGGGGTGCCGATCAAATCATCTGTAGATGTGTAAGTGAAGTTGAATTTCAATCTATTATAGCCTATTGTCACTCTTTTGCATGTGGAGGTCATTTTGGACCGAAGAGAACGGCTCGAAAGGTGCTAGAGAGTGGATTCTATTGGCCAACTCTATTCAAGGATGCCTACTCATTTTGTAAGTCATGTGATAAGTGTCAAAGAGTGGGTAATATCTCTCGTAGGGATCAAATGACTCAAACCCCAACAATTTTTGTTGAAATTTTTGACGTTTGGGGCATTGATTTTATGGGTCCTTTTCCTTCGTCATTTGGTTTTTTGTATATATTGCTTGCTGTAGATTATGTTTCGAAGTGGGTAGAAGCAAAGGCCACCCGCACTAATGATTCCAAAGTGGTTGCAGAATTCGTTAAGTCTAATATTTTTGTTCGCTTTGGAATGCCGCGAGCAATTGTAAGTGATCGGGGTACTCATTTCTGCAACAAAACGATCGCTGCAATTTTTAGGAGATATGGTGTCTTGCACAAAGTCTCTACATCCTACCATCCTCAGACAAATGGTCAGGCGGAAGCATCGAACCGAGAGATCAAATCAATTCTAGAAAAGATGGTCCGACCCGATAGGAAGGATTGGAGTGTGAGACTAGAGGATGCACTATGGGCATATAGGACGGCATACAAGACACCTATTGGCATGTTCCCTTACCGATTGGTATTTGGAAAGCCATGTCATCTCCCAATAGAGTTTGAGCATAGAGCATTTTGGGCTGTCAAACAATGTAATATGGATATCGAGGAAGGCGGAATTCAAAGAAAGTTACAATTACAAGAGTTGGAAGAAATCCGAAATGAAGCATACGAGAATGCAGTGATCTATAAGGAGAAGAATCGGATCTTTCATGACCAACAGATCTCTAGGAAGACATTCGTCTGCGGGCAAAAAGTTTTACTATACCACTCCAAATTGAAACTATTTCCAGGTAAATTACGTTCTCGTTGGATTGGCCCTTTTGTTGTGACTAATGTCTTTCATTATGGTGCAGTAGAGATCCAAAGTTTGAAAACGGAGAAGAAATTTGTGGTGAATGGTCACCGTCTCAAGCCGTATTATGAAGGATTTCCAATTGAACGGGTGGAGATGATACAACCGGAAGACTCGATTTGCTTAGTTTAAGCAAATTCTAGACTCCGTCTAGGCAAAGACGTTAAAGAAAGGCGCTTTTGGGAGGCAACCCAATTTTTTATTTTGACAGGTGATCATGGCGTGCCCGTGCGAAGAGGGCACGCATTAATCTCACAAGTTCCAATTTCAAGGTCAGAGGATGTTTCTAAAACATGGCATGCCCACGCCATGTTGGTAAAATCTCAACATTACGAAGTGGAATCTTGGCGTGCCCGCGCGGAGAGGGCACGCGTTAATGTTCAAAAACTGATTCTCAAGTCAGAGAATGTTTTCTAATCTTGGCGTGCCCACGCCATGTTTGACGAACTAAAACAAAAAAAAAATTCAAATTTTTGCAATAAAAAAAAAATCAAAAAAAATCAAAAAAATCGAAAAACAATTACTTCCTTTCTTAACATTCGGTTAGTTTTTCAGCAATTCAATTTCTGAATTTTTTTAAAACAAAAAAAAAATGTAAGACCAAAAACTATATATTTTTTTTTCTCCTTTCTTCTTTTTCTTTCCTTCTTTTTCTTTTCTTTCTTTCCTTTCTTTCTTTCTTCTTCTTCCCCGCTGCTCGCTTCTTCTTCTTCATTGTAAGCTCCGCCAGCCGCGCGCAACCTAGAGCTGTGCGCAGCTCCTCCTCCCTGTCCATAGCTGCCGCCGACTTCCGCCTGAAGCCCACCACAACCCAGCGTCCATCTCTGCATGCAGCCGCCAGTGCCTCATCTCCACCAGCTCGCGTCGACCTCCTGCAGCCCAAGCAATGCCAGCCGCCACCACCTCCATTTGCTCTCTCACTCTCTCTCGCCAAACACCACCAACTGCCGCCGTCACTACTTGCAACGCAACTAGCTCCACTCTCCAGCTCAGCTCTCTCTCTCCATCTCGATCTCCCTCTCCACTGCGTCAGCTCTTTCTCCGTGCGCTACCCAGCGTGCAGCTTTTCCTTCAGTCTCCACCAACAGCCACAACAGCTGTCCGCAACTCATCTAAGGTCGCAGAGTTCAGCGGCAAACACCACCACCGCACGCGAACTTTCCTTGGCCGCGCCAATACCTCCTGCCCAGCTCACTATCGCAAGCTCGACCTCAGCTTACCACCAACTCCAGTCGCTCCTCTCCACCTCGCTGGTGCACCGTCGCTTCCCTCACGCGCGACTTCAATTCCAGATCATCTCACGCCACTTGTCAATTTTCGACAGGAGGTGCTGGATTTTTCACTTAGTGAGTTGTTTGGGGCTTCAACTGCAATTTAGGTTCTTGGCAAATTGGTTACCATTTTGAATTTTTTTTAATTTTATTTCTGCTTTGCTTGGTGTTGTTGGATTTATCAGTGCTTTGGTTGGCCGTTTGATTTAATTTTTCCCTGTGAGTCCACCAGTGGTATTGGTTGTGATAGTTTGCCTCCAATTTCTTAATCTTAAGTGATTGACTGTCCAATTGGAGACACTTGTTATGATTTTGGGTCCAATAGTGTCTAATTTATTATAACTTGTGTCTAATTGTGGGTAAATTGCTGAGATTATTTGTTTAATTGGGAGGTGCCTTTAACACTTAAATTTGCTTATTGAAGTAGTTGCCTTGTGTGAGAGTCTTTTGTCTTTTTCATTTCAATTATTACGTTGATTGGGGTGATTTTGAGGTGCATTGTTTTTGCATTTGGCTAAGTTTGGAACCACAAGTGCTTATTGATTGCATTTACTATAAGTGTTGGAGTATTTCTATAACTTGTGGGTGATTGAAGTGTGCATTTTATTCACTGGGTTGGTTTTCATTTGTTATTGCTTTAAATTTTCTGTTTCCATTATTTGTTAGAATTGTTGTCTGTTGTTGATTTGAGTGACATTTGGAGAAATGGTGAAACCCAAATCTTCTTCTAAGTCTAGAACACCCCGGCCCTTCGACCTCCGCTCCACCTCCTTCAACCCCAAGGGCTGATCAGAGAATTTGATGTCTTGACGATTTCAGGGGAGTTTCGTTGCCCTTCTTCTTACTTTTTCTATATATTTGTTACATTGAGGGCAATGTATACTTTAAGTGTGGGGGGAGATTTGGATTTGATTGGAGTTTCTTTAAATTGTTGCTTTTCTTATTGTTGTCTTGATGAATAAATGTGGCAACTCACTCTTCTATTGCTGGTTGTGATTTATCCTATGAATTTTGTTTAGATGGCAAGTAAAAGCATATTACCTTGGTGAATATCATGAGTTTAATGACTTGGTGCAAATTGTGGTTAAATTGTTTAGGCAATATAAATATTTTACTAGCAATTGTTGTGTGGATTGGGCAATTGTTGATCTTAGTTCTCCATATTAGGAGATGACGTGGGCCATGATCTTTAAATATTTGGTTTTCTGGTGCTTTAATTGTGATTAATAAATGACTCTACTCCGCTAGTGCCGTCACCCAGTAACCGGGAGTCTTCACCACAAGTGTCGACTTTCGCGTCAAAAAGTGGCGATATCTATGAGTAGGTAGTCCTGAAGCTGTGAAAAGTTGAGTAACTGGTCTCTTTCATCTAAAAATGTCAGAGTTCACGTCAAAGAGACTTGAATAGCTTGGGACTGAGCATTTATTGAAAAAAAAAATTTAATTATTATCTTAAAAAAAAAAAAGAGAGAAGAAAATAATAAGTAAGCTTATGATCATGTTGGCCTGCCGATCCTTGTTCTTCAATGTTGAGATTTTGATTTTCAGTTGACCCAATTGCTAACTTTTGCTAGTTTAATATTTTGATTTCTTAGACGAGTTAGCTATGAATTGGACGAGTCTATGATTTCAGGAGCTAACCGGGAGAAATATGTCTTGACACTTAGCCACTAAAACTTGATTTTGGGATAAGCGTAGCTTGGCAGTAAATGAAATGAGAGTTAGCCATTGTTGAGTTTAGTGTTCCCATACTTGAGGACAAGCATGATTTAAGTGTGGGGGGAATTGATAGGGTATTAATTGTTAATAATTTTATCGTTAATTTTCCTCTTTATCCTTGCCAAATATTGTTTTAATTGTCAATATATATTTATATTTGGTATTTGGATATAATTTCAGAAAGTGAAGCAGAAAAGTGCTAAAAGGGGACCTTCTTGAGAAGATTTCTCCACACGTGAAAGCTTCTAAAAGCTTTCCACCATCAGCCCAAATTGTGCAAATCAACGGAATTGCTGATGAAGAATTGAATTGATATGATGAAATCCACTAGCAATAAGAAATCAAAGCGGGGACCACGTAGAAAGTTTGTTCTTATTGTGGGAGATATACTCATTAGTCAAGGTGTTGGCTTTGATGATTGAGTTTTTCCACTTAGCTTCCTACGGAATTGCTGATGAAGAATTGAATTGATATGATGAAATCCACTAGCAATAAGAAATCAAAGCGGGGACCACGTAGAAAGTTTGTTCTTATTGTGGGAGATATACTCATTAGTCAAGGTGTTGGCTTTGATGATTGAGCTTTTCTACTTAGCTTCCTACGTCACTAGTTCTCTTAGGAAACTAGTGCTAAAATAAAATAAGGGAAAGGCACTAGACGAGTGCTATATAAGACATTAGATTAGTTTCTCTCTACGGAGAGGAAGATAGGTAGTTTTAGTCATAAAATAGGATTTTGTTCTTTCATGTTTTGTGTGGTGTGAAGATCTCTTCAGTTGGTTTGTTTTGTATTTTTCTTCCGTCTCTTCCTTTAGACTAGTTTCTTTCATGAAACTAGTTCTATTTCATTCGATTACAGAGAATCAAATTTTCATTTTCAGTTACTAGCAAGAGTTATTTATGTCTTCGAATTCAATTAAATTGCGTGGGAATTTTCTTATGAGGCGTGGCTAATCTTCTCCTCTAGTCAAGGATCAACACGAAGACGCAGTCCCAAATATCTGTGAGATCTAATTAATTTTACGTGTTCCTTAATTTGTTAATATTTGCATGTTTTCTATTTTAATTTCCATGGGATTATTTTGTTAATTGGATATCAAGGGCCCGATGTGCAATTTGACTTATTAATCTCCTGTCAAATTAATCAATTAAATCCGTAATTGTTTAGTTGGTTAATATTAGTGACAACTAGTATTTTCACATACTAGGGGGACATGCAATCTGATTTAAATAACCCTCGTAGCGTGTTATTAATTTGGGTTAGGCTTTTCTAGTTTTTAATGCAATTAGGAAATTAATTCCTACGGTCGTACCTAGGAGTATTTCCTGGTTAGGGGTAATCAACGGTCGTACCTTGGTTATCAATAAATTAAGGAAAAGCTGGTCGTTAGAGTTTATCGGCGACTATAACTAACCTGTTAATAAAATTAAGTGAACCTTCTTTGCATTAATGATCGGATGAATGGACTGTGTTTGCGTAGTTGTATCCTTGGCTAGAATTTATTTATCATTTATTTAATTGCTATTTACAATTGTATTAATTAATTAATTATTTTTAGTTAAATTGTTTAATTATTTTTAGTTTATTTCTGATAAAAATCCCCCGTGTCCCGAACTTGAAAAGAATCGAATTTTTTCCAGTCCCTGTGGATTCGACCCTACTCACTACTATACACAGAAAATTCATTTTTCTCGAGTAAGTATTTATTATTGCACAGGCTCGGCACCTGTCACTGCGAGACATTCACAAAAATAATTCTCGTAAATGGAGGGTATCCTAGAAGAATTCAAGTATAAACTAAACAGAGAAAATCCTCAATAAATTACAAAAAAAAAAAAAAAATCGCCTCCATTTTGGGGGTACTGTTAGCTTTCAGAAAAATAAGTAAAAACAGAGGGTAGAAAGCTTTTGATTAGGAGGAAAAAGGGTCTAGAGTACAGAGCATGCCATCTTCAACCCAATTTCCTAATTCTCATTTCAAATTCATAACCTGTTAAAATTCAAAACCAAAACCAGAAAATCCGAGTAGCTTGACATACTCAGGAGAGCATATACAGGTCAGGTCGCAGCAGTTGCTTTGAGCCTGCAGAATTTCACAACTGCTGCGAAGGGTTCTGAACCAGACCCATCTATGCCCCACCATACCAAAGCTTGGAAGGTTTTCAAAGCATCAGCAACAGATTCTCTGGCTTGGAAAGTTATGTAATGGTTGGCTCCACAACCCCAAAGTCTTGCGTTTGCCTTCTCAACCTTTTCCAACTTGTACTTTGTGCCCTGGAAGAAATTTAACACTCCTGAATTCACTTCCCTTAAACCGCAGATGCAGAACTAAGGGCGGAAGAGAGCACGTACCTCCTTTTGGTTGAAATCATTAATGGCAGCCACAGAGTAATCGAACAGGTTTTGGCGAGCAGCATTAAAAGGATGATATGGAGCCATAATACAACAACCCGGATAGTGGTTGATATCAAAACCCTAAACGAGAGCGGGCAAATCCAGCTTCACTCAGATAAAATTATGTAGCAGATTATCACAAAAATTTAAAAAAAAAAAAAAAAAAAAGGGGGGGCTTACGTACCTCGCTCTCCCTTATCTCTTGATAGTACTTGGACCATTTATCTACATCGACCTCTTCAGAGCCTTCAGCCCCATCAGGCAAATAATCACTCTTCAACCTATTCGGAAGTCGCTGATTATCAATAATAAAATAACCAGAATCGTCGGAATCATATTCCGATGTAAGCACGTCATCCTCGCCAGTGCCATCGCTCATGTCGTCCTCCCCATCTTTAGCACCGTCGCTATCTTCCATCTCCTCCTCAGCGCCACCGCTCTCTTCATCAAGCTCCTGCTTCTTCTCCGGTGGCGACTGCGTAGATTTTCCCTCATCTTCCCCTCCATCACCAATTATGTGATTTCTGCGTAATTGTTCATCATCGGCCATGGCGATTGATTACCCACGACCCCTACCACTTGCCCTAATTTCCCAAATTTAGGCGCACACCAATTGTTAGAAATATATTTTTTAAAAAAAATGAAAAATGAAAAACCACTTTGAGCATCAGGCTTTGACAAGTCCAAATCCAAAATATATTTCCTTTCGGTCTCCAAGCTCACAATAATATATTTGGGCCTGAAAGCCTAATCCAAACTATGCCCAGTCTCACCATTAATACAATTCAGTTGGGTGAAACCTAAGTCTATGTTCCTTCACACAATGAAATCAGGTTAAAGAGAGGAGACATGTCATTTTTTGTTAATTACATTGCCACATTTGTTTTATCATAAAAATCATATAATAAAATTACTAGTGAGAGGTGCGATTAACAAAAAGTGAAGTATGAATAATATTTTTTCCAAAGAAAAAAAGTTAATAGCCAAACTCGAGATTCTCAATTATTTAGTGATAACTTGACCAAAATGATGATGATGATGCAGCGGAGATGCTCGTTTGATTATTTGCAGATTGACCGAACGCCAAAGCTCTAAATTAGAGAATTAATTATACTCTACATTTTTAGTCAAAGGTAAACTAAAAGCTAAACGCCCTGAAACTTCAGGGAGTAAATGGACCAAATCACATTTCACTGCAGGTGAAACTTCAAATAAGCTTTGTGGAAGAATTTGCTGCCCTTCAACTCCAATTTGATAGTGTCCTAGTAATCATAATTCATATATAAATGAGTTAACGACATTGCTTATCTAACCTTTCACTTTTTTTGCACCCACCAAAAAAAAATAAAAATCATACCACCAATTTTTTTTTTTTTTTGTGGAAATACCAAAAAATAACAAAATAGATTTCTAAAGTTCAACTTTCATTTGATTTACCTGTTTTAATCTTAGTATATAGAAACTTGCAATCTACGTTAGGATCACGCATACAAATCAATGTGCTGTCGGACATGAGCATATGCAAATGTTTTATGGAAAGCTTTAGTCAAATCCTACTTTGTAGAGTCATGTTTCCCCTCTACAGTCAATCAATTATTGTTCCAATCTCGGGGTTCATTTGATAATTTGTAGAGCATTTTTTTTTTTTCTCTTGTTTACCGAACTCACGTCGTTTCCTTCAAAATCCCTCGTCACAATCCTTCTCAGCATCAGCTAATTGATGATCCCACAGCCCAGTTTCTTTCTTTCCCCGGAAAACTCCTCCAGTTTGTTTCCGCTCCTCTCAGGTTGATTCATGGGCTGTTTTGCTCCCTCCTGCAGAGGCCTCAGCGGCAGTCCTTTCGTCCTTCATCTCACTGCCAAATTCACCTGCCTAAAAACCCTTTACATTGAATTCGATTATTCTGGGGATTTTGGAACCTCCCAGAGTAGTGAGCTAGTAGTCAAGTGGAAGATTGGCTCCAAATCTTCATAATGCTTACTGCTAGAAGTCTTGCTTGAGCTTCTAGCAATACTGGTGATGGCAATAATAATAATGTTAATCCTAGAGAAGTCGAGTTACTGGGGAATACTTTGATGTTAATATGGAGTTTGCTGATATCAGGTTCCGTTCGGTGGAAACTCATACTACTATTAATTGTGTTCTTTGGCCTCTGTGGTTTTCTTTTATCACTATTGATTAAATCAGAGATCCTCATCCATGCGCATTATATGAATTTTTAAAATAAAAAAAAAAACCCACCGAATCATGTTGATTTTAGTGCATACTATAAATATACAGCATGAACACCATTAACATTTTTAGTTATCCCATCCTTAAACCAGAAAAGAAAAAAAAAAAACTGCGTATCTCTATTTAAGTGTGAGATAGGGTCTGCTGTTGGTGATTTGTGTTGCGGACATAGGGTCTTGGCTTTAAGTGTAAGAACTGCCAATTTTGAGAATTGTTTAATTTTTTTTTTATGTTCTTCTGGAACTGTAGCTTATTGTGTTCTGTAAGTTTAATCTGGGCACCTGTAAACATATGGTACTTGATTGTCATAAGTGTGATTTTTTGTCTTAGCATGTCAATCTTAATATTGGCACATGATTACATGCTGATCTCAATGTCTTGCTTTTGTAGAATTTTAATATGGACAAGCTTAAGTTTGATGTGCCAAAGTTGCCAGGATGGGTCTCTGCTCTGATAAAAGTTGGAGTTCTTGGAGGTGCTACTATATATACTTTGTCAAAGAGCCTTTACAATGTGGAAGGAGGTCAGAGAGCTGCTGTATTCAATCGTATTGTTGGTGTGAAAGAGAAGGTACGTACACTTAAACCAATAGTTATTATGTCAAATAGCTTTGTTCCTTCTATGTTAATGTTAAATTATAAATTCCCAGTTTCCTTTTGCAACTAGACCTTCTTTTATTTGTCGTTCTCTGATCTGCAATGCATTTTATATCTTAAGTTTCTTCTTAATCTTTCTGAAAAGGTTTTTCTAATTGGTTAATTGTTCTTGAATGTAAAATTGTTACATGTTCAGTTGTCTATTTTCCTGCAATATGTTTCCTATCTCATGTTGAAATAGCAGAGAAATTTTATCCACTTGAAAGAAACTCTGCTCAACACGTCAAAATGTTATTCATATGTGCATCTGTTTTGCATCATTCTGAATTGAGTTTAATGATGATTTTCCTGCATCCTTGATGTTACATAGCCTGCAATTCATTTTATAGTTGTCAGGTTACCTTAGGGTGTAAATTGTTTACTTAGTTAGACTATAAAAAAAAATCACTGAAGACTCATCCCTTTCTCATCATTGCCAACGCTAATGTTGAACAACCCTATGCATATTTATTGCTTTGAAATGTTAGTGAAATGGTTTAATCCTCTACAGTGTTTCAGATAGTCTACATCAGGTACTTAAAAAGCAGTTGTATGATTATCTCCAACATATTTAACTAGAATAGATCACTTTTATATTGAACATCTTGTTTTTAACAGAAATGCCTCCTAAAATATGCTGATATTTGCTGTTTCATTCTTTCAACCAAGGACTGCAAAACAATCATAATGATGGACCCAACTTCTGTATTTTCTCATCTCTTTATGTCATCCTTCTTCAATTTTCCTTTTGATGTTTACTTTTGGATGTCGAGAGGAAGGCAGGGGAAGGGAAAGAGTCAGTTGGAAAAAATGACATCTCCATCATCATGTAGGTGTACCCTGAAGGAACTCATTTTCTGATTCCCTGGTTTGAAAGACCCACAATTTATGATGTTCGTGCACGTCCCTATATTGTTGAGGGTACTTCGGGCAGCCATGATCTCCAAACGGTAAGTATTCTTGCGCTTATTAAGTTTACAATTAATATACTGTTTTGCCTATATAAACTGTTGAAGGTGGACTTTATTGACCTAATTAACTTAATGAATGCTCCTCATGCACCATTTTAAGCTAAAAGAAAATTAGAATATCCGAGCTCTCCTATATTTGTTTCCAGCTTGAGAACATACATCGCAAGAAACGGTTTCACCACTGGGAATCTAGCCTTCTCTTCTCATGCACCACATTTTGGCTGTTCCAAATTCTGAGCAGTTTAGGAGTCTTATTTTCTATTTGTTTCATGCTTGGATCTTCGACTTGTTTCCTATTTGCCATTTTCTTACAGGTTAACATAGCTCTTCGCATTCTTACGCGCCCTGTGGCAGATCAACTACCAACCATCTATCGAAGCCTTGGTGAAAACTTCAATGAACAGGTCCTGCCTTCTATAGTTCATGAAACTCTGAAGGCCGTTGTTACTCGGTACAATGCAAGCCAGCTCATAACTCAAAGAGAGGTGAGGACCACATAATTGCTCCAGCAGAGGTCTATAACTGAAAGGAGAATAAAGAGAAACTTTTGATATACAAGAACTTGTTATTATCTGGAAGTGCATTTCATCGGTCACATAAACATGAAAGTGACATAAACACGAGCCTTTCTAAGTATGACAGTCAGATCAATACATTGATCTTTCCAACAGATATCTGTCAGGTGCTTAGTTTTTAGTTGCGCTCAATGATACATTCATTGGATCCTGTTTTCTCTTTTCTAAGAGTACAGGAGGTTTACACTTATTGATTACTGTTCCTGCAGACTGTCAGTCAGGAGATTCGAAGCCTTTTGATTAAAAGAGCAGCTTCCTTTAACATTGCACTTGATGATGTGTCTATAACTAGTCTGACTTTTGGAAGGGAATTTACTGCTGCAATCGAGGCAAAGCAAATAGCTGCACAAGAAGCTGAGAGGGCTAAATTTGTTGTGGAAAAAGCTGAACAGGAGAAGAAAAGTGCAATAATCAGAGCACAGGTAAAATAATTTCTTCAGTTAATTACACATTATTGTATGTGCAAAGTTTTTTTGTGTCTGTTTTTCATCCCGTGGCTCTCTCATCTCTCTTATTGTACTCAAAACATGTAACCACAGGGTGAAGCCGCGAGTGCAGAGCTAATTGGTAAAGCTACTGCTGAAAACCCTTCATTTATCACACTTAGAAGAATTGAGGCTTCAAAGGATGTTGCTCAAACAATATCAAACTGCTGCTAATCGCGTGTACTTGAATTGAGATGACCTGTTGCTCAACCTTCAGGGAATGAACTTGTCCATCTCTAGTCTGAGGAAATGAATTAAGAAGGATCTCAGCTTTTCTTAAGTCGGGGGATTTTTAGGTAGGTGGTGAATGATATCAATAGCCATAGTGAGTGTTCAAGCCCCCGTTCAGCATTAAACATTACAGATGTTTCTAAAACTTAATTTGTAGTACCTCCTTTGCAAGGCATGTGATGTGGTCATTTAACTACTTTAAGCATTCTTTGTCTTGTTAGTCAACATTTGCTGGAATATTTACGCTCTTACTCATCACATTCTTGGACTTTGTGAACGGCTGGCTTAGTATGGCCATCAAAATCTTTAAGCCTTTTGGTGTTCACAAGGCTGGCTGTGATTTTATTAAGACGTTTAGGTTAACAACTATATACTGCTTTAAGCAGACTGAAGTCATTTACCTTGTTAATTTATCCTCTATTTTCATTGTATGTATGTTTCACAAGAAATCAGAGTCCAAAGACAGCAGGCTCCAGGACATCATAATTATAGCATGGACTTTGCCGTAAATAGATTAATGGCTCTGTTTGGATTGATCATTTTTTCAAAAACAAGTTTTTCAAATATAATGCTATAATGAAATTTTTCAAAAACATCCCAAAAAACAGTTAATTTAAACGGAGCTATTGTCTTTCTTGCTTTCTATTGTCTGCAAGGTTAAAAAGCAGTAGCCACGATGTTTCTGTTTTCACGGTAGGTTCCAACATTTGGCTTTGTCTAGTATGTCAAGTTAAAATGGTATTGCACTTGAACGTTATAGGGTAAACAAGTATAGATGTTTTTCTGTTTCTTTCTTTGTGTAACCATTTTTTGCAACTTCTTGGAGTGATACCTGTGGCAGCTAATAGTGGATCATTGAGGGACTTGCAACTATCCAAATTCTGGGATGTCTAGACAGGAGAGTACAAAACCACGTTTGGGTAAATCGTACATATTTGCTATCTGAATCTAGAGTAGATTGGGGGGCTTTTTCTATTTCCTCACCGTCCCATGGCATGGTTGGACTTTGTATCTTGAAGCCGGTTCTGGCATTGTCATGCTTTTCCTTGTTATGTGGGCTGTGGAGTTGAATAATGGAATCGGAAAGGCACAAAAGATGGAAGTCAAAAGTTTAAAAGAAGTGTGTTTGGCGTGATTTTTTCAATAATTTAATTTTTAAATAATTTTTATTTATGACGTCATCCGGTTCGACCCCTATCGACCCCCGGTCAAACCCATTGATCCCTGACCCCTGATCTCGGCCAAGTCGATATCCGGTCCGGTTCTGAAAACATAGGTTCTGCATTGTCATGCTTTTCCTTGTTATGTGGGCTGTGGAGTTGAATAATGGAATCGGAAAGGCACAAAAGATGGAAGTCAAAAGTTTGAAAGATAATTAGAAGTGTGTTTGGCGTGATTTTTTCATATCTCATGTCCCAAATTCAAGGTTGTCCTTCGGAGAACAAATATGAACCCAAACACTTGGGACTAGGAGCAACTCTCTCTTCTTGATCCTTTGTGGCCTTGGATTAAATGCTCAATGTGTTTGGTTGTTAGCACTCTTGCTCATCACATTTTACATATGCTTTCTATGATTTCACTGCTTGATGGCGTACTTCATGACTTCACACGACTAGCTTTTGCTGTTCATATGAGTATTGTTTTTGTTATATATATAAGAATAACCCATATGCACTCATATGAAGATTAGGAGATATATGAAGACTAGGAGATAAATACTCAGAGCAGTTGGGTGAAATTGTACCTCACGCATCAGTGGAACTTAAAATCAAGACTTTACAATTAGTGACTGGCTGACCAACTAATCCATAGCTTCAAATCAATTCACACTGGTTCAGCAGCCCCGATTCTTCTTGGTCTAAAATCTAAACTCAACAGGTAATATTGTCCAGAAATTTTTTTTTAATTTAAAAAAGAGGGGGGGGGGGTTAAAAGTGCCATCTATGTGCTTGTGTGGGCACTCTTTTGACCAAATTTTATCTCTATTTCCATACGTTAGGTCGATAGATTCATTCAAGAAGACGGTTCGTGGAGGCCCCAAAAAAAAAAAAAAGTTTAAAAACCTTTTACAAGTCACAAGATGTACAAACTTGAGAGTTGGGACATTCCTGTGGGTCTCTTTAGTGTGTATTTATGTCGTTTTTTAAGCCACCATTCAACCTCTGACGTTTCCAATGAGGTGTGAAAGCTTCCAAGTCCCTTTTGGCTACTTCATCTTTTCTCACGATGCTGCTGTCTACTTTACTTGTCCGTCTAGACTTTTGACCAGCCGAATGCCTTTGATTCATTTTTTATAGTAAAATTAGCAGTTGAAAATGTGATCACTGCTAGCTTTGAAACAAAAAAAAAAAAAAAAAACATGTGATCACTGCTGCTATCTACCTCTTCCTCGTCGTTTTATGCCCTTAATTGGGATTGTCACTCGTCAATTTGAGGGGTTGGAAGAATTAATTGGCAACAAAAGAGGAGCGGATCGTCTCTCTTCCATGTTTTTTTTTATTTTCTTAAATGAGATTTGCTAATTATTTGAAGAAGAGCATGCAAAACAAATTCAAGCACAAAGGCGATAGGATAGATTCAATAATATTCCTCGAGATAGTGCTATGTAGGTACAAGATGTGCCCTTCAACATTCCACAAAGACTGGATTTGTGTGGACATAAAAGTGCCGAAGAAGGGAGAATTCAAACTTAAAATAGTGACCATGCTAGTGACATGGTGAAAGGTGCACCTGTCCTGCCTTTCAAAATGTTTTTCTCGACGCCAATTTTGCCTCTTATTCTAATCTTTGGATCCTCCCTCCTTTGTACTTCTCCAAGAAGGGCTCTCTTTTCATTGGAGTCAGCAGTCAAGAAAATCACACATAATAAACATGGATTTTCGTAGAAAAGCTTTCGGTATATCGGTTTGGTTAGCCACTGGCCATTTGGTCCAGTGGTCATCACCATTAAAGATGATGCTGGAGGTCAGGGGTTCAATCCCTGCCTCCCACAAATTTGTCACAATTTGTGGCGGTCTTAATTAACCTTCATCGATGGAGTCTGTATTCACATCGAACCCCCTTCCCTTCCCCTTAGACTAGACTAGATTAGGTTATAGGACATCTATCGTTTCGACAAAAAAAAATATCGGTTTGGTTAGTTTACTTTGTAAAATATTTATTCAACTTGCCTTCATAAATGCACTTTTCTATCACTTTTGCATCTCGTGTAAACGCCATATTATAAAAAGTATTACGATATTATTTCAAATATTTTTTTTTAAAAAATAATCTCCTATCCAAACACGGGTTTTGTTATCATGCACCTAATTAAGTTACCTCTGGCCGTATTCCTTGCAACCTGAAATCGAAAATTATATCAAACTAAAACTGTATTTTTCTATGGTTGTCTAAAAGAAAAAAAAAATGGAAAATGTACTCTTTCTTGTTAAATCCAGTCATGAACTCTGGAATTCAAATCTTCCAGAGGTTTAAGTGAGTGCTTTGATCAGGCGTTGACTTAGGTCAACAGTTACCTATTGCAAGAAAAGGAACAGAACGGGTCATGGAAATTTCCATTAATCCTGCAACGCAATTTATCATCTAAACCAATGCAATGAGCCAATGATCGTTGGCCACTGGCGGTCCAGTGATCATCACCATTAAAGGTGATGCTGGAGGTCAGGGGTTCAATCCCTGCCTCCCACAAAATTTGCCACAATTTGTGGTAGGTCTTAATTGACCTTCATCGATGGAGTTTGTACTCACATCGAACCCCCTCCCCTTCCCCTTAGACTAGGTTAGATTAGGTTATAAGACACCTATCGTTGCGACCAAAAAAAAAAATGAGCCAATGATCGTTGGCTACTTCAGCCACTCCCAGCGCGTGATTCCACCTACGGTTGAAATCGCAGCCGCCTCATGTCTGTACGATTTTTCACTAAGAAACGTTTGTGCTCGTGGAAGAAACGTCTTATCAGTTATCACTTCCACCCCGGTGAACACTACTATTACTACACTTTTTGCCCAGTCTTTTTTGGGTCTGTCCAAATTGGACGAGGGGCAGGATTTTGGCCAAAAAAAATATGCGATTCAAATCACTAGTTGTACATCAATTTTCACGCGTAAGGCTCGTAAAATTTTATATTAAAGTTATACGTTGTGCAAATAAAATTACGTCATATATAATCAAAATTACGCACTGTTAAAAATGACCAAAATCGCTGGGAACGATTGCACCTTCCTGCCCCTTGTCCGTCCAAATTGGTAAAAGAGGACAACGGTCACCGGCCCAAGTGGCGAAATTTTACGCATTAATTAATTAACAAGTTTGGTAGTTAGTCTTTAACAAATCCGATGCTATCAATTAGACAAGCAAAACTTTATTGTCTTGTTTGAATTGTATTGTATGTGCAATTAATGGGTCTATAATCTTATCCTTTTTTATTGATTAAACCATCTACGTTTGCATTAATTAGCTAGTTTAGAAAAGAAGAAATCTCTCCTACCATTATTAGATTCCATGTTCTCTGGCAAATTGATCTTTTCCTCATGTAAAGTAATATGGAGGTTATTTGCCTAAATAACTCCCTTCACAAAAAATATTCCTAAAATAATTCAATTTCATACTTTATTCCCGTAACAACCTTTTTTGTTATCCATCCAATCAAATTCAAATGGAAATGAGAAAAAGGGTAAAATCCTTCATTAGTCATTAATATAGTCCAAAAATCCCTTGCATGACCATAACACTCTATTCTGAATCTATTTTCTCCTTTTTGAATATAATACTTTACTCTGTCTTAACTTATCACTCTGCTGTCCAAAAAAAAATCTTGAATACTTTTGACAATATTTCCAAACATGAGAGCAAAAGTCTTGAATACTTAACATAAACTTGACGATATTTTCAAAGATGAGAGCAAAATCTAAAATTTGACTGTTTATATTTGTTCTAATTGCAATAATTTTGTCTTTGTGATGCTTTCCTTCTTATTTTTTTTTTAAAAAGAAAAAATAAAAGAAAAACTCAGGAAAACTGAAATTATCTCCAAACATGAGAGCAAAAGATAGAGTAACGGGGCGCCACAAGTTCGACTAGTATTATAATATAGCAATTATTTTTTCTTTCTGAAATTGTCAATATAGCAAATTCAATAATGCTCATGCATGGACGTTATCCATTCAGTCCAGTCCTCGTGTCGACGTGTCCAACAA